CAACAGCTGCAACAACAGCTGCAACAACAGCTGCAACAACCGCTGCAACAACCGCTGCAACAACAGCAGCAGCAACTGATGCAACAACAGCAGCAACAACTGATGCAACAGCAGGGCTCCCTCGCCATGCTTAATCAGCACCCACCGATAAATGACCCTACTTTCAGCACCTACAGGCCTAAAGGGTATGTACTCAGCTCTCACATCACATACATTATAATACACTTATTTTCATTAGGTACTGGAAAAATCGTTGCATTCGATGTGAAAAACATCTAGCCGAACTAGATGCCGGTCACAACTTCAAGAACTGCACCGGAGCATGCTGGATCTGCAGAGTATACGGTCTCCCTGAGAATGCGGAATATACGCACTATGGCAAGCGCTGCTTTGGACCATGGAGGAACGAAAAAAACGTCGAAATTCTGAATGTTAATCCCATGCCTTTTGATTTTTTCTAGAATCATGGTAACATGAACACTGACGACGTTCCGCCGACCTACGCACCGTGGGCAAGAGGCGTCGGCGTCGCCCCCCCCCCCCCCAAAGGACGTCGCGCAACAGAAGGAACCGTCAACAAACGCCGGCCGAGAGGGTCAAACTTCTCGAAGAACAATTGAAGGCCAAAAACCAAGAAATCAAAGGCCTGAAGACCGAGAATCGTAATCTCCGATTCGAATTGGAACGCGAGCGAGGATCCAGACAACTTGGGCCCGCGGCGGGTGCGCTTCCGCCTGCGCCTGTGGGTTTGCCTCAGGCAGCCTACCAACTGCCCAACCAATTAACGGGCCAAGGACTCTATCAAGGTATTGCACAACAGCAGCCTCTCCCACCATATGGGTTGTATCAACAACAGTTCGCCGCTGCGCCTGTTAATCTTCCCCCAAACCCGAATTTCCAGGGTCGGCCGTATCCTGGCCATAACTATCCTCCGTATTAATGCGGTCTTAGTCTTTTTTTTTTGGTTGTTTCTTTCTTTTTCCGTCTTTTATTTCTCTATATCCAGTCTTGAAGATTGAGGTAAAGTCTGCTTTTGCTCTGTTTCTGCTTTTAGTTTGATTTTAGTTGCTTGTGTCTTGCGCCCGATCCCAACAACCGAGGATTGAGGTAAACTTTGGTTTTTTTGCATCCAATCCTATCAACTGAGGATTGTGATAACTTCTCTTTTCGCACCTAATCAGATGATTGAAAGCAAACAAAAAGCAAATTTCACCTCAAAGTCTGACACTCTTTTCCCACTGGGTTTTTAATGAGATCAGACCCTAGGTCTAGATAGATATTTTGCTTTAGCCGTTGAAAGGGATGGAGACTTTTGAGGCTTCACAAAGCTGTGCCATTTGAAAGTGATTATGGCACATGAGATTAAATGCAAATACGATATGTTTCTCGGTTCATCAGCAGTCATTATCACACTTTCAAGCAGCATCTCGCAGAATGGCATCCGCCGCCTTCTCACTGACCATGTACAGCGGCAAAGCGATATAGTATCCCGGAATCTTCGGGAAGACACTTGCATCCACAACCCGCAAACCTTCAACTCCACGAACCCTAAAATCGCCATCCAGAACCGCCATATCATCATCATCCGCTCCAATCGGACACGTACAGCTCGCATGATGGCCCCACGCCTCGTCACGGGCAAACTGCTTCAAGTCCTCATCGGTCTCGGCTTGCGGGCCAGGCCAGACCTCGTCGAAGCGACCATCCAGCGGGATCAAGTCTTTGAAGGCGTTTCGCGAGTACTTCATGCCTTCTAGCAGCGCCTGAAGGTCCTCGTCGCCTCCGATGTCAAAGCTGCGGAACTGTATCGCGGGCACTTGACGTGGGTCCGCTGAACGCAACGTCACGGTGCCGGCGTTGTTGCGCGAGTGCGCCTTGAGCGTTAACCAGGTCCAGTGGTCGAAGCTGGCGGTCGCGTTGTCAAAGAAGGAAGGAAAATAACCAGAAAAATAAGCCGGCCAGCCTGCGACGAAGAGGTCTGTGTCATTGTTCTGTGCTACGGAGGACTTTTGCAGGATCGCGATCGCGACGCCGTTGGTGGCGTAGACTCCTTTTTCGATTGGCCGGTTTGCCCACTTGTCGTAGCAGGGGTCGTCGCCTTTGAGGAATGTACAGCCGTTTAGGAGGGCGAGGTCGCTGGGTGCTTGTCCGATGACGGGGATTTCGTAGCGGTCTTGGAGGTTGGTGCCGACGCCGGGAAGGTCCTTGACGACGGGGATGTCGAGCTTGTTGAGTTCGTCTGCTGGACCAACTCCGCTCAGCTTCAGCAGCTGTGGAGTGTTGAACGCGCCGGCCGAGAGGATGACTTCGCGAGTCGCCGTGACGCTACCCGGTGTCCCCTCGTCTGTCGCCTTCCCAGACATCCTGCGCGGGTCTGCGCCATACAAACTCTTTCCTGTCAAGAAATCGACGCCAACCGCTTTGGGCTTGCCGCTGGTGCTGTCCTCAAAACGTACGTTTGTCGCCAGCGTGTTGAGCTGAATGTCAAGCTTGTACTTCGGCGTGCCGTCGTCGTTTGTCGCGCCGATCACTTCCATCAAGAAATCGCGAGGTCCAGCACGCTTGTACTCCGGAATCTTCATCGCCAGCGGCACTTGGTAAAGCCCCTCGGACGAGTCGCGAAGTGGAGAGGGATCGTTAATGTCGCGCAGCAGGACCTCAGCCAGACCTTCGACCGTCTTCAAAGCCGAGCCCAACACCGTCTTTCCCATGCCCGTCGCCGCAGACACCACCAGAGAAATGACCTTCAAGTCCTGGACAATCAGCGTCAACTCGGTGAGCGACGTCTCCAGCCAACCCTTGAACCCATGTCCCGCGACGCTGTTGGG